GGGCTTGGACTACAGTGAAGCGCAGGGGTGGTCTTCGGGTGACAAAGAGGACAGGTGTGGGTGAAGTCAGGGGATAGGTGAAGGATGATGATGATGATGATGATGATGTGAGGGCACGTACCTTGTATTGGCAATGGTCTGCATGGGCGGCATCTTCAAGTACTTCGGGCTGCTGCTGATGTCAACAGTTGCATTGTCTTTTTGTAGTCTGTAATAGCTGTGTAGGAGTAGGCTGGGCGCTGAGCGCCAAGTGTGAGTGTAAGGGAACTGGACTCTTGTGTTGAACGGAGAGGGAGTGTTCTCCACGGACATTGGTTTTCAGTGCTACAAAACTCCATTGGTGTATTATTGGTGCATTGCTGCTATCTGGACACGGTGTGACTATTTGACTTGCAATGTGATGGTGTGATCTAGGATTGTCATCTCGTTGTTGCTTATTTTCCTTGCATAGGGGTTTACGACTGAGAAGAGGGAAGTAATTTAGAGTGGGCCAGGGTAAAACTCATGGAACTACTTGTAGCAGTGCCACCTTGAATAGTCAGAGTGTGACGAGGTGCAGTGGGAACGCTCTGAGTTGGGCGGAAAGAGAGAACCGGTGAAGAGCAAACTTGAGGTGTATCCACTGGGTGCGTGGTGGGAAACCCATCTCGGCACCTCAGGCTCTTCACAGTGTTTTGGTCAGAAAGCATGAGAAGATTGCTCTGATAGAGTTGAGGTAATCAACGATGATATGTGGGTGAAGAATTTAGTTATTATGTTTGCAATTGTTCTGAGAAAGTTGCTGCAGTAGTTTATGATTAGATGAGGGAACTAACTTAGAGTGGTTCAGGGCGAGATTCGCGGAACTACTAGTAGCAGTCGAGATTCACGGAACTACTAGTAGCGGTGTCGCCTTGCTATGAATCCCCCTCGGCGGCGGCCATCCGCGGCCAAGTCCTCGTCCGCGGCCTAGGCCGTGCCCCCGTGGATGTGTCCGCGCGGCCGCGCGGCCTTTGAGGCCACGTGGCGGCCAGTGGGGAGAGGGGTTCGGGATTCGGGAAGCGCCATGGGGCAGCGCATCCCCAGCCCCACCCCCTCAAACAAAAAAAAATGAAAAAAAAACTATTTTTTGTGGGGGGGGGTTTGGGCGAGTGAAGGTATTTTGAAAAAAAAAATAAATAATAACAGCACGTTTTTTTTTTTTTTTTTTCCCGTTGATTGATCGATTGATTGATTGATTGATTGATTGATTGATTGATTGGCCCCACAGGCGCGCACACACACACACACATAGGTAGGATTGTATATTCCCATGTTCTAGCGGAAGATTCATTCGATTTTGCTTTTTTATTTTTTTTTTCGTTGATAGATCGATAGATTGATTGATTGATTGATTGATTGATTGATTGATTGATTGATTAGTCGGGGATGGGTCGCCCCCCCATCCCCAACAGGCCCACACACACACACGCAGTATTGTATATTTCCATGTTCTAACGGAAGATTCATTCGATTCTCCATTTTTTTTTTTTT